CGAGCCGGGAGCCGAACGCGGAGCGGCGCCACCGCTGGAGCAGCCCGCTCCCCGGCTCCCCCACTCACTCGCCATCTCCCTCCCTGTCCTGTGACAACCTGCCCTGCGCTCTGCCAAGAGACAGGCTGTCCTCGGAGCGCGGCTCCAGGTCCGACTGTGGGGGAGAAGACCCCCTGTCCCTGTCCTCCTCATCCGGAGGCAAAAGTAAAATCCCTCGCCCTGTGAGCGCCACGTTTCTGCCGGAGCAGCTCAGTGGAAGGTTTTTGCCTCGGCCGCCTCCGGGGAAACCCCCCATCCGTCCGGTTGTGGACAGCAGGTACGTGTTGACTGGGTATCTTTCCCAATGACTCCTATGGCCACCAAACTGGGATTAGAATCAGACAGGAATGTGCGTCTGTCACAATAACCAGTAATGTACGGTAATGGCATGATGAATTAAAATGAACGCAATAATTTTCATTTGCATGCTTGTTTGTGTAATTTGTTTAATTTTTAAAGAGATGCTGCTCTTTACTATTGAAATGCCCCCTTATTGAAAAATGCTGCAAACATTTGACACATTTATATGTTTTACAAAATCCTAACTGTTTTGCCTGTTTTCCCTAAATGAGACTAATAAATTAATACATTTTTAAGGGCAATTTTGTTCTGTTGAGACTTCAGTAAGGATGAAACAATTATTGAAATAATCATCAACTAATATAATCATCAACTAATAGTTAAGTGGAGTTTAAAAAACCCCCAAAAAGGCCATTTGTTGAATTAACAGCACTCTCAAAGAAGTATTAAAGCCAAGCCTTTGCAAAAAATATATACATTTTGCACTTAAGATAGACAAAAAGTATTTATCTGTAAATATGTTCTTCCCAGAAATCCTCAAGTGGCATAGTTTCAGCTTTGCCTGGTTCAGATTCTCTCTTCATTGTTTGTTTCTCTGCAGACGTCGGCGTTTGAGGGTGCGTGCCAGCAGCACCAGCGACGCCGACTTCCTGGCCAGCCTGACCCAACTGATGCAGGACCGCGGTGGGATGCTCTTCAGTCCGCCTCCCCGCCCCCGCACCTCCTCCTCCTCCCTGCAGCGCTCTCTAAGCTCCTCCCCCTCCCGCCAGGAGCTCCGGGAGAGCGGCGCTCTGCCGGGCCGTAGCCGCTCACCGTCGAGCTTGTCGGGCTCCCCCCCACCGCGACACGTGCAGCCGCTGGACAGGGCCTCGTATGGGCCGGCGCAGTGGGGCCCCAGCCCCCAAGGGAAAGCCTTTGGGAGAGTGACTCGATGACTGCATCCCCCACACAACTGACTGGTCCCAAAATGTTGCACCTGTGGCGTTAGGCTGCCTTACGTCCTGATAGCATGTGTAAATATGACATTTACTGAAAGGAATGTACTGTATGTAATGTAAAATGTATGATAAAATGTATTTATTTATTTATTTATTCGGATATGAAACTGAAAAAGTGGAGAAAATCTTGAGATTGCCAACTTTTACCTCTCATTTCACTCCTCCATTAAAACCCTATTTAGGCCTAATGAGACCAAAATAATCACGTTTAATACTTGATATGTAAAAAAAAAAAAAAAAAACAAATCAAACTAACTGTAGATATGTACTATTAGGAAAAAAACACTAAATATATAAACCATGTATTCACTGTAGAAACACTAAAGAACCCCACAATCAGTATATATAGATCAGCATTCATGTACAGAGCCAGAGCATGCAGCATACGGACCTCACTCTGGTCAAACTGCTAATCCTAGTATTTAATAATGAGCTGCTCATTTGACTTATCTTAGCGTAGTTGTGTGCTTTTACGTCACGTCACACAGTCATCCGCTTCTAAGAATGTACGATAAGAGCGCTATTGTAAACATGCATGAGCTTCTTCCTCGCAAACATTTTTTTTTCTTCATTATTTATTTATTTGTACAATCTGCTGAAGCATCTGTGTTTTATTGAACTGGTTCTGATCCAAACAATGTGAATGTTGGAAGTTTTTTTTTTTTTCTTGTTTGTTGCAGGGGGAGTGGATGGGACGGATGGATGGTGAAAATGTTTGACCACCTATATAGGAGAGAAAGCTAGAGAAAATAGAACCACAACAGATGTTTCAATAAAGGTAAAATACACCAGCCCAGCTGATTTGTTGTTCTAAACAGAGGGAGATGAAAGAAATAGCAAAGAAGAGTCTGGTGACTCTTGTTTTTACTTCTTGGATTTTAATTATGTTTAAAATAATTAGTATTCAGACCTTAGCAGCAGTGATCGAAATCTTAAGTTTTACCACAGGTGGCTCTGGTCAATGATTGCAAGCTCAAATACTAATTAGTCTATGTCTTTGCCAACTTTTTTTTAGGTCCTTAAATGCACTAGCTAAACATGTTTTGATGAATTTTGCATTTAGGAAAAATCAGCTGAAGGTTTAACGTCATTTGCTTTGATGCACAAATTGGGGATAATCCTGAAAACCTCATTTTTCTGTCAGATTTATCTCTACCTCTGTCAAGCAACCTGCAGCACTTTGTTTTTTCATGAGTTTTTTTTTTTTTATAAAAATTGCCGTATAAAGTTGCAACTAACAGAATATTTAAAAAATTTTTTGCAGCGATTCAATTGAAAGTTATTTTAAGCATTTTTATTTTTAATTTTGAGGATTAACTCTTAGTTCATAAAAAACAGAAATTGAGTTTCATAGATATTTTAAATATTACAAAATAACAATAAAATATTTTTAATACAGAAATGTTTGCCTTCTGTAAAGTATCTCCCCTTTATGATAGCAGAGGCTGCTGGAAATGATGAGCCTGTAAAGTTTATCTGTACCGTAATTCTTTGTCTTCTACACGTTTTTTTCTTCCACTCAACTTTCCACTGACGTGCTTGGATGCAGCTTTGTTTGCAAGTCTTCCCCATCAGCCATTTCAAGGATATAACATGTCAGTGGTAGATATTAAATATATCTGTGATAAATTGAGTTTTTTCTGAAACATTAAAATAAGCTTTTCAAAGATATATTAATTTATATAGCTCTAAAAAAAATACTGTTCCACTCTTTAGAGACTGCTTCTGTTCTTTAACCAAATATTAATATTGGACAAAGAGCACAAAAAGACGTTTTCATGAAATGATTTCATTTAATTCAATATATCCAAACCAACCAAGTGAGAAAGGGTAAGCAGCACATCTTTTGAAACGATTCCAACCCAATGCAGCAGTACAAAAATCTTTATTTACAGTCAATTATCAATTAAAATATAGAGGATTGTGTTTTTTTCTATAATAAAATTTTGCTCAACTGCCAACATCTAAAAACTATTTTAAAGCAAGCAGCAAAGCCCGGTATTCACTTTCGATGGGTGATGATTGGCGACTGGAACCTTTTAAAGGGCAGCCGGTGTCATCCATGTTGGCGAGAAGCTGGAAATTGCAGTTTTCTGTTTCTCATATTTAGAAGAGAGGCGCAGACTGCCTGGGGTCATCCGGTAGCACGCTGATGGAGTCCTCAGCCTTTCCACACAGCATGCAGAGCATCGTGTACTCCTGCACCGACGGAACAGGGATGTAAGACCATCTGAGTAAGTCCGTGGATCCAAGCGAGCGCTGTAGATAAATCAAGATGTCATCACTCACCTGATACTCGTCTACAACAGAGAACGTGTACTCGTGTCTGGCGATGACGTGGTCACAGTTTTTGCAGACATCTGGAAAGACAAAGAGATTAGTGGACGTTTCCTCAAAGTGCTGGTTATGGACCACCAGCTACTGGAAAGACAGTCTGACAAGTAACGCATTAATTATGAAGTGGAAAGGGAATTAAGTTTGACTTTTACTTTAAGCATTAAAACCTGAAAAGTAAGGTGCACATTTTTTACTAGCCCCCTTTATCATGATGCCCCTAAATAAAACTTTACTCACCTTTATAGTGAGCTTATATTGAGTAATGTTTATCAACAACATCAAGAAGATGGATGTAGAGAATATCTTACAAAGGTTAGGGCATATGATTTTCAATCTATTGTTTTAAAATGTTAAGAAGATGGAACAACGGCAAATCTGCCAAACTATAGTTGTTCTCCTAAACTGACTAAACTGAGCAAAGAGAACAATATGAGAAGCAGCCAAGAGGTCCCCATGGTCCCTCTGGAGGAGCTGCTGAGTTACAGCTTGCTCTCCTGAAATCTGTTTCTTTGTGGAAGAGTAGCAATAGGGTTCAAGGAAAAATATTACCTCTATGCAGAATGTTGGGTTTGGTGGAGAACTAACACCGAAAGTCAAGATACTGAAACTGCAGCCAAAAGATTGTAGCACAACATACCGACAAGGGCTAAAAAAATGCACACCACACTTTTTAGATTATTATACGTAAAAGCAATTTTAAAAAATTATTTCCCACACTTTCTATCACACGAAATCCTAACAAAAAATAATCAAGTTTGTATTTGTAATGTTACAAAATGCTTAAAAAGTCAATGAGTAGGATATAATGTATTCGTGATTGGACAAGGGACACTAACGGTCATATGTGACAATTTCCTCCCCATCATCATCCTCGGTGGCCTTGTTGCTGATCAGCACAAAGTCTCTCTGATGGCAGTTCGCACAGCCCAGATAGTTCATCAAGTATGAGCCGTTCTCCAGACAAGTGTTGCCCTGAAACAACATAATTATTCTGTATGCCACCACGACAAATGAAACTTTTGAGATATATCGGCAGCTTTAACTTACCCGGTCCGGGTATTCTTTATGCACACAACCGTTGCACATGTTGACCTAAACTTTCATGAAATAAGACAAAACAAACAAAAAATAGTGTTACAACAATACGCCCCTAATAGCTAACATTTAGCTGAATATTTGTTAGGAGTAGCCCCTCTTCCGCAGGAGGACATTCATCAGATCTATACAACATCCAATGTGAGAACATGGTGCGGATGACTTTAAGCTATTTCATCCCCATGGTTTGTAGATCTAAAAACTGGAATTTCCGGTGCTAACAAGGATGAACTATTGGTCGACGTCAATTGGACGTAAAATACGTCAGCAAACATGGCGGCGAAGTAAAGAAAAGGGTTTTGGAGCCATGTGAATTTTGTCAGGTATTTACAAAACTTGTTTTAATAATTTTACTGTTTTGTTACATTTGAAAATCCGAGCAAAACTTACTTAAATGTTCTTTAAATCAGTGTATCGTTGTTTTGGAATCGCTTCGATTGTTAATGTGCAACTGCTAACTAAATTCTCAGAGATTTCAGTTTAATACCACGTTGTCATGGATTTATTTGTTTAAAAATAACAATTGAAACATTTTATGGAGCTTGCCTCTTGACTGGTCTTTTTCCTTGATAACATCATTGGTATTTAAACCAGTGCAAAAACAAGGTAGAGACGGTGAGTTTTTGCAGTCTGGACTCAGGATCAGAGTTGTTCAGACATGGCAGACGAACAGAACAAAATAAAGAAGCCGAACAAAATAAAGAAGCCGAACAAAAGAAATAAGCCATCCTTCGCAAAGGTGAAGAAAACCTACTGCATTGTATGTCGCAACGAATATTTAAAAAATGTAAGTGGCTGTAGTTATTACAAATTTTGATTTGATTTTTTTTCTTTCTTTTTTTTCCATTAAAAAAATCTAACTTTGTTTTTGTCTCCCCAACTGCAGGAAGAACATGATCATATGCACAGCATACAACATCACAGTGAGCTGGACAAGGCGGTGGGCAAGTAAGTACCATTTTTTGTGACAGCAAAAATAAATATTTTACGTGTTTATGTTGTAGAAATGTGGCACATTGTGAATTGGGATACAGTAACAAAAACGTCATTGTTATGGTCGTTATTATTATCATAACAGTGATGTATGATTTCACTAAAACGGAAACATGCTGTTGCACTAGCCCTCCCCAGAAATCAGCATCATTTGATCAATATTGGAAGAGGTCCAATGCTGTTGGAAATAGAGTTTGACATTTTCCACATCTGGATTATTATGGAAAAATATTTGTATTTCCAGGCCTTGTCTTTAATCAGTTTCTAAAAGTTGTATCCATAAGGCATGTTTTAACAAGCCTTTATAAAACTCAAACTTGTATCATTCCGGGATTATGATTTTATATTATTGCATTGATAGGATTTTTGTCATAAAGTATTATCTTTTAAAAATATTGAATTGTTTGAAAGCTAGAAATTCATCTGTATTTTCTTTATATATGATGTATTATTTCTGTCTTCATTTCAATAGAGATGCCATTCACAATTGCCAGGCATGCAAGATAAATTCATTGGATTTGAAAGCATACGCCAATCATATCCTAACATCTGAGCACCAAATTCGGCTTAAGAACCTGAAGAGCAGAAATATTAAGCCTTTGTCTCTGTTCAAGATTCTCAGCTCAGCTACTATAAAGAGCATTGTGACGAGAAACAAGGAACTGACCAGACTGAAGTAAGAATTTCATCTGCTTAATGCTTTCCTGTTGCAGACAAAAAAGTGGGTTTATTTTGCAAATATTCAGATTGAATATTTGTTTGTTTGACAAGTAGTAGTATGACAAGTAGCCATTGTCATTGCTGTGACAATAGCTACTCTTCATGGGGTCCACATCATAAAAAATACATTTATTACAAAAACAGTTCGACCCTTAGTATAACGTTGATTATATTAAACATAAACATACTGATTCATAAATTTACAATTAGAAGACTTTACAGGCTTCTAACACCTATGATAAGCCTGGTAGGCCACCAGGCTTTACTTGTTCCCCACCAGGCTAAGCATCGCTTATTTAAGATTTTTTTAAATTTTTGTATTTTAAAGACTTTATAGTTGGTGTTTGGGTATTAATCTTCCAATCTTTCAATAACACATAATTATCAAGTGATATTTTCAAATTTCCTGTCAACTTTAAACATTTTTTAACTCAAAAACACAACAGGCCACTGGATGAATGAGTGCCTTAGAGCCCAACCACCGGGCTTAGCAAGTTTTCCGGGGGACACCTTGCTTTATATAATAAATTAATTAAACAGGGCTCTTTTAAAAATTCTAGCATTTTTTCCATTTAAAACAGGAAGGAATTGACTTATTTTTAGACGTATGTTTTTATACCTCTAGAAAGAAGTTTTGTCCAGCATGCACAAAAATAAATATTCTGTCCAGCATTCCTGTTGCGTGGTGGAAGAGTAAAGCAACCTTTTAAAGCGTGCCTTGTGGTAAATTGTGGAAAGCCTAGCTAAATGAAAGTTGATTATATAAAAAGAATGGTTGTATTTTCAGAAAGAAAGAAGAGAGGAAGACTAAAAAGAAAAAAAAGCAGGAAGTCGGGCAAAGGTGTGCAAAGACGCAGCAACATGGAGTCCAAAACAGGATACTGGACGCCAAAGAAACAATACCAAAACAACCCAAACAAATGCAAATGAAAACTCCAAATCAGTGGCAGCAGCCACACTTCCCAGAAAGCAACTGTGGTGTCATTCAAAATAAGGAGAACAAAATGTTCCCCATACAGAAACCACCTCTATACAGAACATTTCCTGATCAGAACTGGAGACCACCTTATCAGCCAAGAGCTCCTGCTGGTCAGCCTTTTCATTACCAATACGGCTGGCATCAGAACCAGCAATGGCATAATGATTACTTTGTCAACAACCAGTGTTACCAAGGGGAAATGAACTGTTTCGAAAGTAGTCCATATAGCTACTCTAGGCCTCCAGCTGGCCCGTCGAGACAAATGATGCCCAAAGTGAGCCAGAGCAACTTTAATGAGCAGAAACCCGTGGGAAACTGTTTCATCACCAGCGGACCGCTCCCTCAAGATGGAGACAACTTGCTTGATCACAACCAATCAGAAGAAGGGAATTCCACTCAACCAAAACATCCGAAAACCGACTCGGTTTGGCCAGAAAGTTCAAGCAGTTCGGCTCCGGGGGATTCCGAAAACAAATCTGACAGTCATGCTCCTGTGCGGGACGTTGATATTGGCTTCATGCTGAAGCAAATCAGGAGAACACTTGGCGTCAGGGAGCCATGCAGGGCGGATCGAGAAGCCCGGCGGCAGAACGGGAACGGCCACACTGAGGATCACAGCGCAGAGAAGCAAAATGCTGCAGACCAGCAGGCAGAAACTCTGGATAAGACTGAGCTGGCCAGCACCCATGCTACCATTGCTAATGCTGATGCTTTTCCTTCCACTATCACCATCAATGCTTCGACCTCCGTGATGCCCGCTGAGCCCAATTTTACCAAATCTCCTAAAGTCCGGGTTGCCCACAAATCCAGTACGGCTAAAGCAGCAAAAGAGACCATTCATAAGCCAATCCTAGACAAGCTGCATCACCAATCAGGAGCCAAGAGCAGTTTGAACTGGGATGAGATGTACAGCAATTTGAAAAGGAAGAGCTTAAAAGGCGCGCCTCGGTGAGGACCTTCTCCTGGCACAAGGTGTTTATTTTGATCTCTTGACCTCTTGGTGACCTCTCTTCGTTTCTCGTTCAGGTTCGGAATCGAGTTTGGAACCCAGCCGACAGACGTTGAACGCCCACTGCACGAAGGTGACCTGCTGCTATCTGAGGGTTTCCATTGGGAATCGGTTCCAGACAACCTTTTAGTCCCGTCTCCCGCTCTGCCCTGTTCACACGGCAGTCAGCTTGAAACGCAGTCAGACTTCCAGACACGGGACTATTCAGAGAAACCCAATGTCCCCCAGGCAAGCTACAGCCACAAGAAGGCAAAAAAGGTTACTGTAAAAGTGGAACCAAAAGTGGAGAATGAGGATGAAGAAGTGAGCAGGAAGAGGACAGTCAGTATAGTGGAAGTAAGTTGGGCTTTAAAGTGCGGTATCCAGTTTGATGACCTTTTACAATGGTGGAAGTTCATTATTGGGTATTTTTGCAGGAAGGCGACCTTTCTGACAGACCAAGGTGTAAAAAGAGGAAAACAAAATCAAGAAAGGATAATTTAGGTACATGAAAATCTTTTGCTTATGTGTCTTCTATAAACTGTTGGGTCATAAGTAATTCAAAAGGTTTTTTTTATTTACAAATCAGACAAAAAAGCTAGTATGTGGTGTTTCCTCAGGCTCTCTTAGGGTAGGGAACATAATACCTAAAATATGGGAAATCATTGTTTTACCTATTGGCTTTATGTACGTTAAACAAAAGTTTTTTTAAAACACTGCAGAGTTCCTACAGTCTGCAAAAATAAGAAATTTGTTTTTATGAATTGCCCTTTTTAAATTAGTAAGATCAAATATAGAGACTCCATCTTTTCTTCTGCCCATACTTTCAGTTTGTCTTTTACAGGCCTTTGTAATTGAAGCCTGACCTTCATAGAAACATTGCAGATAAATTCATATTTGTTTGCTGACTGTAAAATGGACTGAGAAATTTGATCATTTGGAAAATATGCATTAGCGCTGACTGATTAGTTTTGATGTTTAATAAAACAATGATTTCCATCTTTCAATCTGAAGGAAATGTGTGTATTTTATAAGTAGCTGTGGACAACACTTGATAGTGTTTGTTCAGATTGTACTGTGCTGTGTTTCTAAAAGTCTTGCATCACCATGCAGACCAGAGTCGGATGGACCAGCTGCTGGCTGTCTCGCTCCGGGAGGACGAGCTGAGCCACTCGCTGCAGGATCTGGACCAGTCTCTGGTCCAGGCGCGCAATGCGCTGCAATCTGCGTACGCAGAGGTCCAAAGACTGCTGCTTCTGAAACAACAGGTCCCGCTGGCTGTTGAAAAACGCAGCATCTTTTATTCTCTCTTTCTGTCTTTCAGAGATGGTGACTTAATGTTTTCCTCTGGTTTTCTTTTCCTTTCAGGTTACAGCTGAGGTCAACAACCTGAGAACACAACGCATTGAGATCCTGCAAGGAATGCAAGGTAAAATAAATCATCTTGTATGAAGTCATTTAATCACAAAAATGAAACGTTAATGATACGTTAATGATTGCAAACTTGAAACTTCTTTTACCAACTTAAGAAAAAATGTTGGCTGGACGATATGGCCGAAAAACTTATCATGATATAAGTGTTTCATAGTAGTCGACATTGATAATTATTGATTAGATTATTGTTTGAAATATCTGAAATATTACCAAACTGGTAGCATGACTGTTCTGACCACAGTTTTCACTCCACACCGTTGTTTATTTGTTTTTACGGGGTTAAGAGGCACTTTAGCAGAAGTTACTCATCAAGTTGTTGCTAGGTAACCGAAGTTGATGGGAACTTGAAGCTGCTTGTTACCCAGTAGGTTGTTGCTAGGCAACCAAAGACTGACGGACTCAGTTGATTCCACCCAAGGTTGAGCGGCTAAAGCTTTTCCTCTGCCTACATCTCCCAGAATGCTGTGGCGTTGTGGATCAGAGTTCACTGAATATTCTATAAATTTAATATTCTATCAGTTGTATGATATTGATCTATCGCAATATTTATTATTATTGATTTATTGCGTAAGTAAAAAAAAAATACATCTGAGTAAAAATACTTTCAAAAGTAATTTTTTTCCCCCAAAATGTTATTCAAGTAAAGGTAAGTAGTTACTGCCAATCCTTCCGACGAGTTGCTTTGCTCATTTCAGATTGCCTTCCAGACTAACAATTCAAACAAATGTTATAATAGATGATTATGACTCCTAAAAGATAATAATTATCTCTAACAGAAGGATACTCTGGAGCTACTCCAGCTGAGCAGAGAACCTCCTCACCTGGTTCTGCATCCACCATGTCAACAACTTCCTTTCCTTCCTCACTGATCCTGCAGCAGCCTGCAGCAACCCCGGCCTCTTTCATGACTCTACCTCAGCCGGCTCCCCTTGCCCGGCTGGCTGGGTCGCCGAAGCAAGAGGTGACTCGTGTAGTCGCAGCGGGACAGACGAGTCATCTGTCCGTACCCTCTGGTCTGCAACCCACCACTGAGGTCCCCACTTCAGCTCACGGACCTCCTCCTGAATCCTCTGCCAGGCAGCAAGAGCAGGAGATGAGGGACAGGTTGACGTGTGGAAAGACCAAGGTTTTGGAAAAACGAATACAGTCTTCGGATGTTGTGGAAGGAGCACAAGAAAATCAAACCACAGAACAGGATATAGGAGAAGAGCCTGGAAAGGAGCAGATGAAAGCGTCGCGCATGGACGATGAGGACGATGAGGGCAACGAGAGCGACGACTCAGTGGAGGTGGTAAATGCCTCCACCCTGGATGTCATACACATTGAGGAGTCAGAATGTGAGGATTCAGCAGAGACAGTTTCTCCAGAGCAGCCCGAAGATCCCCAGGAGTCTGTGAGCCTGGAGTTGAGCTGTGCGAGCACGCAAACGTCTCAGCAGTGTGAGACGGAGAGGTGAGCTGGGGTCAAGTCTCTGAAGGAAAGAGGAACTCTTATGGCAGGGGCGTCCAAAGCGCGGCAAATGCAGTTCAAGAATGATGCAAATTTGTTCCTTGAACTTTTTAATTTTAATATTATTACCAACATCATTTTCTTACAAAGGAAAATGTTAAATATGGCACATTTTATCCATCTTTTTACCACCAACCTCTTATAACGTCTATTGAGACTTTTACTGAAAAGCTAACTTTGCTGCACCCGCTTAGCTTTTATTTAATTTATTCAACTCAGCTAAATATAGCAAATGTTTTGAAAGAAAGCGACCCAAATCCTCTTTTTAAAACTAAAAATGAATTTTATCAACCGAGCCTGAAGGCACGAGTCTTTCATTTGATAACATAAATGTGCAAAATTCTTTAAATGTTTGAATAACGATACAATAAACAACATTCCTTTCCTGCAAAAAAGAAAAAAATTGGGTTACTTTATTTCTTTTTTTTTTTTTTTTTTCATTTTCTTGACTCAATACTTTTTACTCAATAATTTTGGCCCAACTGAGAGAAAGTTTGGACACCCCTGTTTTCTAGAATGTGCCTGTTTTGCCAACTTCTGTTTCTCCAATCCCACAGGAAATTTGAGCCTGCAGTTAAGCAGAAAAAAGATGCCAGTCAGCCTGCAGGTAAGGGTGTCTCTTTATTTTTTTTATTTTTTTGTCTTTTTAAATGCACCACATTGAAAAAAAAATGATGCGTCTAAACACGATGATATTCCAGAGTCTGTGGAAGAAAAGGAACCTTATTTAGGGGAGTTTTTGAGTCATTCCGGCCCCGTCCACGGCCTCCAGATCCACAACGGACAGCTGTACACGTGCTCAGGAGATAACACGGCCCGGGCCTACAACCTGCTGGTAGGATGCTGGAGATTCGAAAGCAGCCTTCACAAAACAGAGAAACCTTATTGTCTCACACATGAACGGAGTCTTAAAAAAAAATGTGTTTTCATTAATTCAGACCAGAGAGTGTGAAGCGGTGTTTGAGGGTCACACAAACAAAGTCAACTGTCTGTTGGTGTCGTCTCTGCCGAACATGCTGGCACGCCTCTACACCGGATCCAGTGACCAAACTATCCGCTGTTACAGCATAAAGGTACGAAATGTCTCTGAAAACATTAAAAACACGGCAAATCTTTTCTCCTTCCTTCCTCCATTTCTTGCTTCTTCCTTCTTTCCTTCTTTCTTTAGTTCCGTCTTCCATCCTCCCCTTCTTTGCATCCATCCATCTCATGGATTTTGCAGTTTTCTGTATATAAAATGAGATTTTCTGCCAAAAATTTGTAGGAAACTATTTAAATTCTTAAAGTTAGTTTCAAGAGGACTGATTAATGTGAAAAGCTTTTAGTGCTTCAGATCTTTAATATCAAATGTTACTTTATTGGTGGATGACTGGGGGTTATTGCATTACATTAAGACTTTCCTCAGACAACCCTTAAAATATATCTCCTGAAAGTTGAAAGAAATCAGGAATTATTTATCAGTAGTGACTCTTCTTTTACACTCTGGATGTCTGTATTTTTCTTGATTTGTAGTCTAAAAAGTGCCTTGAGCAGATCACTCTACCAGACAGAGTGCTGTGTTTGCACATCGCCTGGAATATTCTGTACGTCGGGCTCGCCAGCGGCTCTGTCATCAGCCACGACCTGAAGGTCGGCAGCTGTTCTCCATCAAATCTGAACCATTTGAGGCCGCAGAAAAAGGCGAAATCCTCATCGTTTCCCCGCATGTCGTCATTTAGACGCTGAAGGAGCTGGACGTGTTGGAGTGCCACGGCCCACGCGGCGTCAGCTGCCTCGGCACGTCTCAGGAGGGTGCGCGGCGCCTGCTGCTGGTCGGGTCGTACGACAGCACCATCACCGTCCGCGACGCCAAGAGCGGCCTGCTGCTGCGGACACTGGAGGGTCACACCAAGACCGTGCTCTGTATGAAGGTGACGAGAGCGCGCCGTCTAATACCGTAACATGTTTCTGCTCTATGTTAGGATCATTTCTGTTGCACTTACATGAAAAAGAGCGATAGCAGACACTCTTTAGGGAAAGATTCAGAGTAACAATCAGCTTCCTATTGTTTCCTTATCTCCGCTCATAATGGCTTTGGCATTATAATTTAGTGTCTTGCAAAGGAATTGATATCAATTGAACCTCTTCATGTTTTAACTTGTAATAACAAACCGCAATGCCTTTGATGTGTTAAACCAACACGTGGAGGTTATGCATGAGCTGAGAACATTTGCAGCGTTCCTTTAAACTTCTTTTACACCGTATTATTCTCTGGCTGATTTTCTACAGCTCAGGCTGCTGTTTCTCAAACATCTGTTGCTGTTTTGTTTGTTTTAGTTTACTTTTCTGTTGTTTTCAGGTGGTGAATGATCTGGTTTTTAGTGGTTCCAGTGACACATCTGTCCACGCCCACAACATCCATGTAAGTCCTCCACATGAACTGGCCACATTCTGAATAAATCAGAGTGTGCGCAATCAGTAAGGTGATGATTTTTAAACATTAATTTGTGCTTTGTGACCATCTAGACCTGTATTTCTTTCCAGCTTCATGCTCTCTGTTGTCATTGATGCTTACAGACTGGGGAGTTGGTTCGGATCTACAAGGGTCACGGTCACGCCGTCACATCCATCGTCATTCTGGGGAAAGTGATGGTGACGGCCTGCGTGGATAAATTAGTTCGTGTGTATGAGCTGCAGGTATTCGTGGCCTCGTTGAATCCTGAGATTTGCTTCCGTGTGAATTATGTCAGTCAGACCTGTGGGCATGAAACCACTTCAAGCATGCTGTCTGGTTTGTTTTTGTAGTCCCATGATCGTCTGCAGGTCTACGGGGGTCACAGTGACATGGTGATGTGCATGGCTGTGCACAAGAGCGTGGTAAGCGGACTAAAACCAGCCTTGGTATTAAAATGCTGGATTTTCAGATGCATTGATGAATCGTTTCACACAGATCTACACAGGCTGCTACGACGGCAGCGTTCACGCTGTAAAACTCAACTTGATGAAAAACTACCGCTGCTGGGTAAGAACTGCAGACAGACGGGAAGCTTTAACCCTCTCACAGTGGCTTCTTTTTTTTTATTATTATTTGTTTGTGTAATATGTGGTTATGTTTGTCCTCTGTCCAGTGGCAGAGTTGCTCCCTGATTTTTGGCATTCAAGAGCATCTCTTTCAGCACCTCATCCAAGACCACAGCAACTCCAATCTGCAGACGGTCAAATGTCGCTGGAAGGAGTGCAACCATTTTTTCAGCACACAGCAGTCAGTCAAACAGGTAAGCGTTTAATCATTTTCCTTCCACTTTACAATAATGAACTACTTTGTGTTATAACATTAAAGACAAAATATTAAAAGTTCAAGCGACATAACTCTTTTTGCAGAGCTTTTAGATGTAATTTTGTGAACTTTATGAATATTTAATAAAATGAGAAGAGTAGATTTGTAATAATGGGACCCATTGCATTTATTTTAATATCTGCTCAGAGCTTTAAAACTTTTTGTTTTCTGCTTCAGACTTCTCCTCTCCTGTGACGGATTCAGATATTCTTGGCATATAAGCATCATATTTCCTATAAATATGATGACTTGACTAAATATGTAATAAATATGTTGACTTTGTAAGCTGTTCTGTTTGGGATTTTCCTGCAGGAGCTGCCCAAACACATGCAGAACCACATTGATAGTGAATGCAAGCTGCAGCCTTGACAGGATGGCAGTCGAAGCTATGCAGAAGACGATGCAGAGAATCTCGGCGTTTTGTTCTTTCCTTTGTAGAAACGCGGCTGCTGTTGATATTCTGGAACAAATTCAGGATTTAAATCGTCACATCTGACTTTCTCCTGGAAACATCTGCAGCATCAGACGTAAAGAGAGACTTAAAGTTTTGACAGTATTTCCTTTGTCCAGTTTTTCTTGGTGTTTTTTTTGTCTACATGGTAGAAAGTATCAGTCATCCTCATTTTTCACCAGCTACTTGACACAATTTTAGTTGATACCAAATTGACGTTATTTCATACATGAAGCAAATCCTTCAGATCATTTCTACAAATAATCCATTTTAAGTATTATTTGTGCACTGAAACAAAAATAATAATGCCGACATCTTCCAGCATAATTGCATAGGTTAGAGGCCGTTTACACTATAAACATAAACATAATGGTGTAATAATTCAGCAGATTTAGTCATCCAGGTGCACTACACCAATATCACCCAACTGGTGTAAAATACTGATCTGTTTTTAAGGATTATAATACTTAATAAAAATGAGTTGAAATTATCTTTTATGTCCATCAGACTGACATTGATCTTGTTTTGGTGAAAGAGTAAAAATCATTATAGCAACAATTTTTTTTACGTTTCTGTATTTTGCCGTGTAATTCCTGCAGGAATAAAGAAAGTAGTGCTCCATAATTCATTTAACTTTCTTTATGCTTTTTGCTCAACAGTAATGCGTACCGTTTGTGTGCGGTAATAAAGCAAAACAAACATGTTTTCCCTCATTCTTTTAAATATTGTTTCCAGAAAGATTTAACAAACAGATTCTTTCATATTTATAACATTAACGTTGAGATTTTTTTTGAATATTTTCATAGCCTGAGATGAAATTGAAAACTTTGATAAGCGAAAATTAAATGCTTAAGCCACAATGTTGATTAAACTTGCAGTCAAAACCTGGATTTAACGGCATTAACAGTACAGAAACATGATTTAATGACTTTTAGAGTCCAGACTCTTAACGAGGTGTGATCAAGTAGATCGCCAGGTAATCTTCATCTAGGAATACATCGTCAGCTGAAGCCACTGGAAGAAAACACAAAAAGCATTTTTAATTCACCTTTTTTTTTTTCTAGTATTTATCCAAAGAATTTAATCCTTATTTTAGTCGTAAATTAGATTTAGATGCGTCCTAAAAATTGTTTTTGTAATATTTTGTAACCAAAGAACAAACCACTTAAAGGGAAACCAGCAAACTCAGTGGAAAAGACTTTTTTTGTGTGTGAAATATTTCTGATTCTTTTGATATTTGAATGTTTAAGCAATGCAAAACGAATTTAAAAAGTCTTGCTGCAATATCCACTCCCAGCTCATGATCATGTGCATTTCAAGAGGTTGACAACAGATGCATATTTAACTTGCTAAAGCTATTAAATAGGAGTTATTTTTTATTTATTTATTTTTTATCAGCAGTCAAATATCCTCTGCGGGTTATGCCAAAAGAAAAGCTCACTGATTTCTACAAAATGCAGATTTAAGTTTTAAAGAGGTGAAACACAAAACGCCAACGTAAACCATAGAAATAAACAAAGCGACTTACCTCCAGGACGTTTAGTTTAATTATTCCGTCTCCGTCTTTATCGAAGGCATTAAAGGCCCCTGAAAAACAGACGGATAAAGACAAATCAGATCTCTTTTTATCATCTTTGTGAATCCTGCAACTTATTCCCATCTAGTTTATGCCAACAGTGCGACCTTTGACTTCCTATGTGGAATATGAAAAAGGTTGATTCTTCTAATTTGGTTATTTTTCACTTTTTCCCTTTAGCGAAAAGGCAAAAAGTGTTTTTTTTTTTCTTTTTGTGTCTGTAACATGAAAAGCTAAGTGTTGAAATGTTTTGACTCACTGAACATTCCCTCTAGTCTCACAAAACAGCAGATGTAGCTGTCAAAGTCAATGTTGAGGTGTTCGTCTGCGTATCGCATGGCTATGATGTCGTACAACTGTTTATTGAGGTGAAACCCTGCAGAGATGGAAACATTTTTTTTAAGCCCAGTGATGTACAACTTAAGTTTAAAATCAGTTAGAATGTAGACCAAATATCTACCAGTATCTACAACTGATTAAATGGCTTCTTTCCCACCTGCGTCATTGACGGCGTTCCTCATCTCGAAGCTGCTGATGGAGCAGGACTTGTTTCGATCGTACCGTTTGAAGATGAGCTGGGAAAAAAAAAAAACGAAGATATGTGGACCCAACACCCGTCAGCATCACCAGACATTAAATCAGAGCTGAATGTGTCCTACCTGCCATGCTTTTATCTTTTTCCACAAGTGTTTGAATTCCTGGAAATTCAGTTTCCCCGATCCATCAGTCTGAGAAACGGTTGGTCACAGAAAAATAAGTTCACAAAACTAGATATTGTTTCTAATGAAGACCATTTTTAGAAATAATTTTAGCAATGCTGAGATGCTAAAGCAATCCATAAAGTCGATGTCTTAAAAAAAAAAAAAAAGTTTCTATGGAAGTAAAATGCAAAAAGAAAGAAAAATGTAATGTAGATTTTTATCTGTTTGTTCCGGTAGTTTTGTATCTTTTAAAACACACTGAACCAACGAAAGTCCTGAAATTAATACAATAATAATGCGCAGTCATTTATTAATTCACAAAACAGATTTTATGAAGCCACTTAAAGAAAAATAACTCCTCTCCGACCTAAATTACTAACAAAACTAAAATCTGTCATAACAGTTTCCTGTTTTTGAGCAATTCTTGGAAGCGCCATCATGTTGCGAAGTCTTATTCTTGTTGAACCTTCTGACCGGTTGTGCCACATTTCCCCAAAAACTTGATCAAAATAGAAAATTCATTCATTGTGAATCCACGAGTCAGCAGGGGAACACCCTCCGTGTTTTTAAACAACTTCCTGCTTTTAGCATTTTAAAGGATACATCCATTAAGGCGATCATGCTTCGACACGTCTCGAGGCTGAAGCCTTCTGTCTTTATCTCACTATCTATAAAATAATAAAAAAAATAAAAATATAAAAAGAAGCAAAGATCAGAATATAAAAACCTTACATGGGTGCTGTAAACAAATTGTAGCTCTTTACGTTTAGAAAGAACGTTCTTCATGATCGTCTTGAGTTCGTTTGCACAGATCTCCATGTCCTAAGGGAGGGAGGAGATATTTGCCTGATTAAACAGCCGAGACATGATAGTTTCTGTAAATCTGTCTCATTCCTGCATACACACATCGCCTGCAATCTGTTTGTAAATGGCTCTGAACTTTTTCTCTTCCTCAGTCTCTTCTTCCTCTTGCAGCAGTTTCCGCTAACAAATGGATGAGAAGAAAAAATAAATCACAAGCATTTTTCAAGTATGCTTCTTATGGACAAGTAGATGCATTAAAGCATTAAAGTTTATTACCTTTGGTTTCTTCCTCTTTTCCCCCTGAATGCCGTCATGCTCAATTTCTTTGTTGGCGTGCGCTCTGTCTGATACAAATACAATAGGCTGGCGTGTGTGACACCCCCCAATATGAAAGAGGACATCAAAAAAATACAAAAGAGTTAATTGCATAAAATAACAACAATGACCTAAACAAATACTGGCACCTCTGGAAAAAAAAATGGCTGAAAACCTCGAAATAAATTCAGTTTTCCTTGCATTGCTAGCATCTCACACTGAACAACAGCAAAGGAGTCATCGCTTCCTTTGCTGTAGTTTTCACTGATAAGGTAAACTTATTGCCACTCCCTTACATCAATAACCTAATTGGAATGACATGTTCTCTTGCCTTTCCCATTTTGAAGCATCACTAGGAGGAATTGGTGTCTGCTGTCAAGTCAAAGTAAGAAAAAACTTAATTAAATACTAACAGAGCATTTTAACTCCATTAATTAGAGTAAAGATGCTTTACTGTAATTAATAGTTGGAGTAAAGCATTTTTAAAGCTTCTCAATCAGTTTCAAGTGTGGAAATTTGTGCAGAGGTGGACTTGTCTTGGAGGGCTTTAGATCCTTATCTTGCTGAATAATGCAAGCGAACAATCACAAACTGATGGTCATTTGCATTTTAGGTTTGTCTTAAGTTATTCTTGTCTGAAATGAAAATTTCTTCGATGACAAAACATTTAAGGAAAAATTAAAGTAAAAGATCTGAAGGAAGGTGGGGGCTACTTTTTCCACATGTTAAGAATACATTTAGCTCAAAATCCTTGAATTTCAGCTTTATTCTGTTATTACCTTCTTTTTCTTTTTCTTGTCTTGCTGAAGGACAAGGAGGAACAGAGAAAAAAAGTAGATAAATGGATTAGAAAACACATGAATTGATGGCAAGAAAATGAATAGCAATGATAAATGTAAGACACAGCTAACAGTTAAATTTCATTCTATTCCATAGATGTCCCAATATAGCACAATTTATTATATTATTGGGTTAGTTTTTAATTATTCAGTCTGTCTATATTATTCATTTCTGATACAGATTTAGCAGCATATTTTGAGTCCCTGTACAATAAAACAGTCATGAACATTACTAAAGCCACTGGCCTTAACATTTAACCGTCACCTATCTCTAAACCTTCAAACCCTCAAAAACTGGAAAAGCTAATAAAATAGATTCTTATACATTTCTGTAAACATCTAAAAAAAACAATCCAGATGCTACAACATGAGCCACTATAAATCTACCATCAGTGTGCAAACCTCTATTTGATCGATGGTGCTCCCTACTTCCCTATGGAAAGAAAAACACAGACATAAATTACCAACGTTCATTCTTATTTAGTTTTTAAATTTTAATCCCTAACTTTGGCCCTCCGAATGTAACTGGAGCATCAGAGATACTTACTCAGATGTGCTCTGCTTCTCAGAGAAGACCCTAAGGATGAACTCTCCCTCCACGTGGGGTTCAAAGGTCGTGGGGACGATGACATACTCTCCCGGAGGCAGTCGGAAACGCTCCGTCACCTCCCGCAGGTTGATGTAGCTCTTGCACTTGGCTGTGGAGGCTGTGTAGAGGAAGAAGTCCTTCTGCAGATGTTGATTCTGGCCTTGCATCTGCACATTTTAACATCTTCAGTCAACACACGCAGCCTTGGAGAAAGTCCCAATCGGATCATTCTTGAAGACGGAGTATACTGTACCTTCTCTGGCACCTGCAGAACAAACCAAAAATTCGGCTTGAAGCAGAGTTTTTAGTGTTTTCAATTGATGTTGAGAATAAATGTGTCATGTAAACACAACCTTGTAGATAGAAAATCCAATGGTAAGGAATTTTGCTCCTTTATGGCGCTGCATCCTCCGACCCTTTTGCATCAGGGCTACAACAACAGTGCAGGCCACCTGCCCGTCCTCTGGGTCGTCGTCCTCCTCATAAAGCTGAAGCCGATACTGAGGGTTTGTCCAAAATGTGTCTATAGGGAATTTGTGATATTAAACTAGATTTTTTTTTTGAAGTTTAATTTAAAAAATGTGTTAATTGAAAGACAAACCTGGGAAGTTCCTGCAGCCACCAGCAGAGCTGCCTCTCACCCAGCGACCTTCATTGACCGAAACCGTCCAGGTCATCCGTTCGTTGTCCTGCAGTCCGTCGGGGGTGAGGTTACACATCTCCAGTTTGGTGAAAGTCTTCTTGAACTCATCAAAGGACATCCTGGTTTAAAAAAAAAAAAAAAAAAAAAAAAAAAAAAAAAAAAAAAAAAAAAAAAAAAATCTTAAGAGGGGGGGAAAAAATTTTAAAAAAAAAAC